CTAATCTAATTGAATCGACATAAAGTGTACTGTGTCGAAATGTTAGATAGTTGAAGGTAATCCACAGGAATTCGACCAGTCCTTAAAGGACAAAGTGAGCATTATTATTTATTTATTTGAACACATAAATATTGGTACAAGAGGGCACCAATTACCAATATTTATGTGTTCAAGTAAATAAATAATAGTGCTCGCTTTGTCCTTTAAGGACTGGTCGAATTCCTGTGGATTACCTTCAACTATCTAACATCTCGACACAGTACACTTTATGTCTATTCAATTAGATTAGTGAACTGAACATTACCTCCTGATTGATTGAAAGGACTAGATAAACATCACATTAGTCACTTACTACTTCACTGTGACCAATTAATTGTTATTCTCATATGCTTAGTGTATTCGGTAAATTTTAATACATTGACTAACTGTTTTAGTTTCTTTAATTGTACTGTTAAATACTGGTAAGTTTAAATTTGCGAAAATTAAATTAACCTTCTGATGAGTATGCAATTATATATCTTGTTCTGCTAGGTTCCTAGAAGTTTTATTTTGCGATTGATTTCATCATGTAAAGAGATACACTGGAACAAAACTTAATACTTTTTTTGTTAAGATGAATTTCGTTGAATAAGATTGTCAGAGATTTTTGGAGGCATATTCCTTACTAAAACGCAACATAGGATGAATTCGTCGACAAACTGTTTTTTTAGAATAAAGATTATGCCGTCTCGTCAATTACACTTTATGTAAACTCAGTTTATTTTAATAAGTGAGATTTTAATTTATTATTATTTAATACTTAAGTATTATATAACGTAATAGCATGATAGTTATCGTCATGACTGTGAATTAGTCATACATTGTGTGAAATAGCACTAGTTGATTGTCCCACTTCATTGCTAATTGACTGAATTTAGATATGTGTTCATTTTGGCTCTGGATTTGCTGATTGTTGTGATACAGCGAAAACTCTAAGTTTCACACTTTGTTTGATCATGAGTATGCACTTCTAGGGAGTAGTCTCAAACCAGATGTTCAATGTTCTCTGATGTTCATTGATTGCAATCAAATGACGAGAACTGTTAGTAAATGAAAATAATCTACACCAATAATTCAATTAAATAAAGCCTAATTTTCATGCGAATATTTCAATGGTTAAAGTGTTCGATTCTCAATCACTGAGTCCCGAATTCCGGTCTTTATTTATTTGTTATGTTCCATAATTGAGGTATTAACTCGTTGCATTACTTTAATTTGTACATACCTTATTCTGCTCATTTTCGGATATTGTCTGATCCCTCATATTTTTACTTATATTTTATTTATTCCTATTAGCCTCTTGTATTTATTTATACGTACTACTTCCAAAATGTGACAATTTGAATAAATTCAATTATTTTTTTGAGAATTAAAAATTTCTCACTTCATAAAATTCAGTTGTACGATTGAAATTTCTCAACGAAATTTTGTAGATATAAAGCTTAAAACTGATAACTACTATACAGCCAAACTAAAAATGTATCAGTTCATGAAGTTATTAGTTTTAGCTATTTTGTTGAGTAAAATGCAGCTTGCCTACGTGATAACTCCACTAATTAGGGATTTTGTATGGCATTGCTAATTGCAACTATGTTCTCAATATGTAGTCGCTCTCAGCATCATCGACATTATAATTATGCCGAACTCTTTTTTTAACTTCATCTCATCGTGGTAGTGTATGTTATTATAGTAGAAGTAGTGATGGTCAGATTCTACATTAACTATGTGTGACCACTGATTGATCTGTGTATTGCTTAAACTAGGATAATAATATGTGTGTAGCGTATAAATATTTATTATTCTTTATGAATACTTCATGATGAGATTTTTTACTGACCTAAAGAACAATTTCAAATAGCGGATCATCCAAAGGGGGCAATAGTTCAGTTGAATAGTAGTAAATGGTCGTCATCAAGTCTAATTGTTATATATATATATATATATATATATATATATATATATATAACACGAAGTCGATTTTGTAATAAAATACCATTGTACCATCATAATTGCTAATGTTTTCATGCCATTTTATAGTTGTCACTGTTCACATTCGCAATAATAAATAATCTATTTATATTCTATATTACAAACATGACCATATTAACTTTATATTCACTAATAAACATCTGTTTGTGTGCATCGGTGATTTTTAACATAGTGATATTATTATGAGTGAGATATCAATTCCAACATAACCGGTACTCTAATTTACATGAATTTATATGTTTACACTTATAACCTTTTATTTACATGTTTTATTTTTGTCCATATATATATTTACGAATTTATTCAAATCCGAACATTAAAACAATTGGATCCCCGGTCAGTGATCTAAAAGTTAAATGTTAGTACACACATACGTTCATTTCATTCCTTTCTGTCTATTCCTTCGAGTTTTTCACCCAACTCTACTCAATATTGCTTCATTCATTTCTACTAACATTTTCTTTTTTTTCGATAATCACGGAATTTTTTTCATCACCCTATTATTCTTTCTTGTTCATGTTTTCAGTATCATTTTTATCGTATATGCAAAATTTCATCGTTAGGATAAAAAATTTTCCTCTTTTCTTAGCAATCCTCCTTTTCCTGTGGGTTTTTCCCCTCTATTATTCAAATGTAATTAAACAACCCTAAATTAGGTAAGTTGTAAAGGAACAATGCCAGAATGTTTGGGATGTGCTTCTCTCCCTCTAAATGCAAGTTGTTGCTTCAGGACTGGTCTGCGTCAACACCTGAACTAAGGATAGGGAGTGAAGTAATCGAACGCGTCGACAAATTCACTTATCTTGGAAGTCTGATCAGCCCTAATGGGTTGGTGTCTGACAAAATCTCAGCACGTATTCGAAAAGCTCGTTTGGCCTTTGCCAACTTACGTCATCTATGGCGAAGGCGAGATATTCGTCTATCAATTAAGGGACGAGTATACTGTGCGGCAGTTCGTTCCGTTCTGCTATACGGCTGCGAAACTTGGCCTTTAAGAGTAGAAGATATACGTAAGTTACTAGTATTTGACCACAGATGCCTTAGAAATATTGCTCGCATCTGCTGGGATCACCGGGTAAGTAATAGTGAGGTTAGACGCAGGGTATTAGGAAATGATGGTAAATCAGTTGATGAGGTTATGAATCTTCATCGACTGAGATGGTTGGGCCACGTGTTACGTATGCCTGAACACCGATTACCACGACGCGCAATACTCACTGGTGTTAGGGATAATTGGAAGAAAGTTAAAGGTGACCAAACCAAAACGTGGCATCAGTGCTTGAAGTCACTAACTTCTGGTTTGAGCCATGTTGGTAGATGCAGACTGCCTGGTTGGGGTCCGCGTGACTATCGTAACCAATGGTTGGAGACTCTTGGTGACATGGCTCAGAATCGATCACAATGGCGTCGGTGCATACACTCTCTGTCTTCCTTTAAACTAAGGGATTAAAATCGCTTCATATCTTTCTTTCTACAAACTAATTCTTTCTTCCTGTACTATTTCCTTATATGCAATCTTTCTTCTATATATTACCATGAACTGAATTAACTACTTCTATGAATCCGGTGTTCATCTTGTTGTGCTAGTGCGGTATGGCAACTTGGACCGATGCATATATGTGCCTGGTCCTACGTTGCAGCTGACTGACTGACTGAAAGGAATAATTTTAAATACTTCCACTGTACTGAAGTCAACTTAACGAATTACTAGAGATAAGATCCATTTGACTGGAATTGGTTTATTACAACACTAAATCAATTATGCACTGTAGAGAGTGCAAATTGTTTCATTCAGTCTATCTGACATTCCAGTCCATAACATCAATCAATCAAGATGATATTTTTTAATATTGTATCTTCTGGTTATTAGCTAATATGCCATTTCAGATAGCATATTTCACTATGCGGAACCTATCAGTTAATGTCGATAATCATACCCGTATTTAGGACTCATTACACTCATCGCGATCATTAGATCTTGGTAAATAATTGCTATAGATACTCAATAGCCACCAACTTGTTTAATGAGTATTCTTTTAGGGGATGTATAATTCCCTATTGTTAATACCCCGTTGTGAATCACTATCATAATAAACACAATGAATTTATTGCTGCTGACATCATTAAGATAATCGTTGATAGAGCATTTATAGGCATATATACACCTAAATTCAAATGCAAGTGAAGACAGCCAGTGTAACAGCAGTAGGCCTCAACATACACAAGGGAGAAAACAAGATTCTCAAATGAAACACAGGAAACACCAAACCAATCACACTTGATGGGGAAGCTCTTTCATGTACCTGGACAGCATCATCTATGAACAAGGAGAATCTTATGCAGACGTAAAGGAGAGGATTAGCAATGCAAGAATAGCATTCCCGAAGTTTAAGGACATATGGAACTCAAAAAACGGTCAACCAATATTAAAGTGAGAATTTTCAATACGAACGTCAAGACATCCTTGCTGTACGGAGATGAAAGTTGGAGAACTACCTCAACCATCAAAAATGTATAAGTATTTCTAAACAATTGTCTACGTAAGATACTCAATATCCGTTTTCCATATACCATCAGCGACAGCCTACTGTGAGAGAAAAGAAATCAGCTTACAGCTGGAGAGGAAATCGGAAAAAGACGCTGGAGGTAGATAGGATATATATTACGGAAATCATCAAACTGCATCACAACTTGGAATCTCGAAAGTAAAAGGAGAAATAGAAGACCAAGGAGCACTTTGAGTTGGAATTTGAAAGCAGATATAGAAAAAATGGACAGCAACTTTAAAGGATTACTCAGGACAGAGTTCAATGGAAAATGTTGATAGGCGACCTATGCTTCTCTATAAGTGGTAACAAGCGTAAGTGAAGTGATACATCTAAATTATTAACAAAACATAATTCAATTACTAAAGGTGTAAAATAATAATTTTTGTATACATTGCATAATATTTGCTATTATTTGTTCATTAGTCGATTGAAAGAAGTGAACCACAAATTGAAACAGAAACATTTCATGATGAAAATGGTAAAATGATCAAACGTACTGTTAAACGTTCTGAAGTGACTACTACAAAAACAGTTAGTGAACGTATTATTGCAAATACTGCGGGTCAAATTGTTCATGTAAGTTCTTATTTGTCTTTAGATGTTTTTAATGTGTCAATAAACATTGTAATCGTGTGAAGAACTTATTAAACAGTTGATCAGTGACAATTTTTATTCTCGTTTTTTTAATCATGCAAAAGCTGTTTATATTAATCACAATGTATGTAATATCCATTGTTATTTGTTAGAGGATTTATGTTTCAGTAGTCTGTTGATCTGACTTCCAATTTGTTCGAGTGGTGATAAAGAAATATTCATCCCGGCTACTCTCGTATCCAGTTATCTACTTATTTCGAGTTAGTAGATAACGGAATAAAATAAGTCAAATAAAAGAATAAATTCCGGATACGTATATTTGATGCACTCGTTGCCCTGTCATACAGACATTCAAACGAAGCAGAGAAGCACACCGTAGAAGGCAAATGACCCAACTCCTTCCGATCAAGCGTGACTCCATATTTATAATAATTTTAATAGTTCAGATCATGAGTCAATTGAAGCTAGATCACCGTAGAAAACCTGGAAGCACTGGACGGCCGTTTCATCCTGTTTTGGGGCTCCTCAGCAGTGAATCATGATCTCAATTATTAAGATTACTATAATATCCACAAAAAACCCCTTGTGATATCAATAATTGTAGCCAGACAAAAATAATCTAATGACGTGCTGGATGGGAACAGCGATACATATACATACGTCATGGTCATAACCGAATATTTGACAAGGTCAAAATATTGCTCGAGGAGAATAAATATGTCGGTCTGTCTGGAAGCTAGAAGAATTCATGTGGACTTGATATAGTACTAGACAGTACCATGTTTCCCTATGGCTAATATTCGTTACTGTAAACACAATGAATTTGCAACTAAAGCCATTCTTGAAACATTCGTTGTTGGGACCTCCTTTATACATATATACATTTAAATTTTTTCCAAAATAACATTTGGTTACTAAAATGATAGCTCAACAAACTAATTATCATGACATCACCTCCATTCTTATTATGAGTAATGCATGGAACCAGTCAAAATTTAGTTATTAGTGTTACATTAATGCGCTTTAAAATGGTCTGGTGGATCAATTAGTTTAAGGTCAACCGTTTATCCACACATTTGAATAATTTGCCAAAATTTATGTATAATAATAACACCAACACTACGATCTTGGCAAATAAGTAGAAAATATCTCTCACCAAGCAAAATTTAACTATTGGTGTTGTAGAATAACAAATTTCCTATAAGCAAAATGCCAAGATTAGTAATATACAGTTCCCATCGAATTTCGAAGTATATTAATCAATGTTTAATTTGCATGTTTTTATTTTAAACTCTGTATAATAATAATAACTATGGTGACTATTTACTGCTGGTTATCATTCCAATTCTTTAGTGAACAGTGAAACTGTCAAAATTGAACAACTTAATATGGAACATTCGTTGAAATTTGATGGAATAGTTTTTAATAGAAATTAGGCAAAAGGTTATAGAGGATATTATTTACATAAAATTATGTTTCGAATAATCTGAGCGATTGATATTCATATAATTCTAATTCCTTCGAGCTTCTTCTATGACGGAAACAATCAATAAAATAATAATAGAAATTTTATAGTTTATATCACAAACAGATCCTACCTACCCTTTAGATCCTAATTTTCTGAATTCCTTATATTTTCGATGCCTAATTGTTCTCTAGTTTTGTTACTACCTCTATCACTGGGAATTTCTTTTCGTTGTACTAATAAAGTATAGCAATCTCAAACGATGTACACACATACAAGGTTGTACGTTGTGTTTGACTGATTGATGTAGGTAAAGACACTGTTGATCATTGTTCAATATTTTAATGATTACAAGTGTTCAGTAGTCATAGTTTTCATAACTTGCTTAAACTGTTTTAAAACAAGAAATGTTTGAGCGAACAATTTTTTGTCTCAACTTCACCATCATCTGAGAGGCTCTAAATTTTTCAATCTACAATTATTGTTATTCGAATAGTCTAAATTCAAATGCTGGTGAAGAGAACCGGTGTAGCAGCAGTAGGCCTCAACATACACAAGGGAGAAAACAGGATTCTCAAATAAAACACGGGAAACACCAAACGAATCACACTTGATGGGGAAGCTCTTTCATGTACCTGGACAGCACCATCGATGAACGTGGAGGATCTGATTTATATATATATATATATATATATATATATATATATATATATATATATATATATATATATATATATATATATATATATATCAATGCATAAATGATTGTGAAGATTAAGAATAAGGCAATACAAAAATAAATATATACAGGAGACACGAATTGATCCTGTTAGTTTCAACAAAGTTAGGGTGGCTTGATCTTTTTCCCCATTCTCTAGATTATTTTAAATCGGGCTTCTATTCTGATAGTGTACAGTGTTGTAAAATTTCACAACAATCTATCCCATGTGATTGAGGTGTGTAATTTTCTCTAAGAACGTTAATTATTGCCTGATGTCCTTCTGGTTAATTAATAAAAACAAGTAATTGTTAGTTATAGATAATGCTAGGTGCGATTCTGAATAAAAAATTCAAGCTGCCAATTTAATGATAAATGCATTCAGATCTGAATGTATTTATAAATTCCGTGGATTTGGTTTGCAAAATAAAATTAGTTTCTAAGGTTCGATGTTTCTAGCCAGATGAAGGAATGTTTTGCGTAGGTTTTAACTGGAGTATTCATATTTTCAACTGAATTGATCAGCTTCTCTATATCGGTATATTATATTTTCGTTGTGAACGGTTGTCTTAAAATATGAATTGTTTGTATTTTGGATATTATTAGCTGGCAATATGTTCGAAGACGTTCATTTCTCTTCATTGATTGAATTACTGTGTTCAAGTTTTATTCCAAACCTACGAATACTGAAATGGAGTTATATCTCCAGCTGACAAGTCTCAAATAAAATAGAATACTCATCTTGACATCCATTGCTAATCAATACCCTCAAACATGGTTTTTTTAATGTTTTTCAGTGTAAATAGATCATGGGTTAGAAATGTAATTCTCGACTCGTTCCAGTTCCTATTTGGTACTCGTCCACTAGGTCTACCTCCTTTACACTGTTGATGTTCAAAATAGGACTCAAACTCCCTACATTTCACTTTAAACACCGTTATTCACTTAAATTGTTAGTCCAGATAGCCGCCAACTTGTTTAGCGCTTATGGTATTCTTGTCATTATTGGTAAGGTTTTGAAATATTCCAATAAAGACATTTAAGAATAAATTTTATTCTGTCTTTGTCGACATGTGTACATTCCATACACAATACCTTGATATTACTATTTTATTACAAGTTTTTTTTCTAACAGAATAGATGGAATGTGTACTAGCAGTGGAATTGAGAATACACGATTCGTGCCATCTGTGACTCATCCCCTGAATGGTACCTACATACTATTCTTGGTACATATTAGGCCTCGAAGGGAATCCATACAGAATACACATATACACCAACAAAAACTGTTCGAAATGTAGTCTTGAATATTACAAGCTCTTCACGACAATCGTGTAGTACTTCATAATTTAAGAATTGTGTTATTACTATGCAGAGTTTCTTTACCTCATTACATATATAATTTTATTTCCATGTTGAAATTACTTTTTTCTATTAACTGTTCTGTTGTTCTGTTTTCTTCTTTGACAGACTAATGGACATTCTATATCTAGTAATGATTTTGATGAAGTGAGTTGTTAGTTTAACTATAAAAAATTGAAAAGAAAAATCTTAACTGCTTTTTTCTCTGCTTATTTTTATCTCCATAAAACAGTAATAACAGCACAGTGTGCATTTGTGTATATACTTTGTCACTATAATATAAATTTCATCCCTTTTAATTTATACAATCATTTGATGAGAAGTTTGTATTTAGTTTTTATCAGTTAATTAACAAACTCGAATTTAAAAAAGTTACGTCGTTTCAAGATTTTGCAAATATTTACATGATCAAATAATGTTTTTGTGATTGTTATATATTTCTGTCATTGTTGTTGCCGTCGTTGTCGTCGTCTAAATTTAGTCTGTTATCCAACACTTGACTGCATCTTCTCTGGCAAATATCTATTTTCATGTAATCAAATAAGTTTTAGGTGCATGCGTTGTTTTATCTTTTTTGTATATTCTCATTTCGTAGTGGTAAACAACAGATTGATACACACATACTGATGTATATCAACTATTTATTTTATATGGTTTATATCACGGACTTGATATTAGCTAGACAATCATTGAAAACCACTAAGCATGGATTAATTGTTTTTTCTTAGCTGTATGGATCTACAACCACATCGGGGATCAAATCCACGACTTATATGTTTCGCAGCGAGCACTGAGCCGACATTCAATGGTGTGCATGCCTAATTTCAATAAATTCTCGATACTGCGCAGTCATCTCACATTGCCTATGGTAGATAACCGTTTCAGACGGTGTGGTTGAATTCCACTTTTGATCACAGCTTCTCATTAGAGATATCCAGGAACTGCATCTTAAAGTCAGTCACTAGTGAAGATATGTTTGTGAAGGCCAGTCGATGAAGGGAACGATGTATATTTTACAGGCTCCACAAATTCCTGTCCTCCTCTTGTTACTACTTATTCATTCTACTTATGCGTAATCTTCACCAGTTAACCGTGTTTCTGTGTTAAATACATTTACTTATATATCGGTGTGTACATATATGCGTGTGTATACTTTTATTGCTAAGTAATTTATTACTATATTACGTCATAATAAAACACTGATGTATTTATACTACTGGATTATCCTTTTTCTATTGGGTTATGCATAAGATTTAAATAAATAAACGGAATCTTAATTCCTCAACTAGTAGTAAATTTGTGGTCAATTTTCTCGCTATCGCTAGTATGTATTATGTGTATTCTATCTTGTCACTGCCTTCTTTGACTTTTATAAAATACTTCTGGATAATATAGAATTGTAGGTTAGGTGGAGAAAGCTACGAGAGATGGTCAACACTAAACATGTTATCATTTCTTCAGGTCATTGACTGTTATTGATGTGAACAGTGTAGAAACTTTATGTATTGACTTTTGTTGGTTTGGTCTCGCATGTTGTTTGTAATCTACTAAATGAATTTATCCGGTGATATGGCACACAATTGTTTAAGTTCCTTATTTATTTATTTAAAACATAATTACTGATGAACATAATCACCAAAATAAATACGCTCCACATTAATAATCAAATGATATTGTGATGAGATAGGGAAAGAAGGGAGTGAGTATAATGTTGAACAAATAAATGAATAAAAATAGGTAGATGAGAGCAGTATATAATAAGAGAAACAAATTAGCTCAGGAAGTTCGCCTTTTATGAATAATATCGAAGAAAACTACAAAAGGCCATCATTAACTTCTATTTTGAGTCATACCTGATATTAATCAGTCTTACACAGTTTCCTTTTATACCTTGGCACTATGTCATAAACTGACCATCACTGCATTTTCTAAACAGTCCCAGAGTCAGAAAATAAAGAACTATCTGGAAGTTGCTGAAATGACATTTTTAACACATTTCTGAGCATCGGCATTAATAACAAAGTGATCCCCTAAATGTTAGCAATTCTTCAGTGACAAAGATAGTTGATCGCCCTAGTCACCGAATATAATGTAATCATTTGAAATATAAAGCAACCAAATCAGAATGTAATATCAGTCCATGAAGTTCAGTATTTGAATACTTCATGTAACGCGGCTTAGAATCGATCACGATGAAACAGAAGCATTTATTCTTTATCTTTCTCCACGTCTTCACTTCCAATATTTGTTAAATACACATCTTTTCATTCTGTCTTTTCGAACCATAACCTCAATGTCCGATGTTTCCCATTACCATTGTTGCTATAACCGAAGCTTATCATCATCCATGCAAAATTACTAGGTCCGTGTACACCCCTAGAGCATTTACATTTCATTGGTTGAATTGATATTTATGTTTCAAGCCAATACAATGATCCATGTTCGAAATGTATTCCTGCCGATTAAGTTCTAGTCTTTTCCCTCTCAATCGTTTCTTATAAAACCAGTTCGTTTGTCTTATGTTCTTTCATTAAGCCGGTTGTTTTCTGTTTTTTGTCTACTTCCATAGGATTTAAATATGGCGTTGTTAACCGTCACTAAATTGGATCCAGATATTTCAGTATTAAATAATCCTGTTGGACAGGTGGAGATTAGAAGCAAATCAGAAAGTGTTCTTTAAAAACATAGAAATAGTTGTATTCTTGTTACACACAAAAGCAAAGGAACAAAGTTTTGGCTTTTATATAACTTTAGTAAATTCTATTCATAAAGAAGAAAATGGAAAAATGCGACGTAGGAAGTAATACATAAGAGGGAACAAGTGTCGATGATCAGGCATATATATATATATATATATAGTATTCAGTAACTGCTTTTCGTTTATATATATGATACAGCTATCTACTCACATTTATTCATTCTTCGATCAATCAATTCATTCATTGATTCATCTAATTATTGAATAACGATTCTATTCCCAAATGTCTGTTGATCCCATTCATTATCTAACTTACTTTCGCCTCAATTAAATCGTATTGTTGTTGTTTATTACGTAATTCAGGCTTTTCTTTTCCCTCAGTTGGTAAAATTATTTTTCGGTTTACTACTACCACAACTATATTTCTTATTGACTTTTCGTTTGCATATATCTTATTCGATGATACTTTCTTTTTTATGTATTCTTGATTATTTTTCTTTTCTTTTAGTGTGTCAGTGTTTCTGTTGTATTCACATATCTTCATGATTGTTGCCATGAGGAAGTATTATATTATTGTGCATTTTACATGTAAATGCGTTGATGTACGTGGGTGTGTGCTTGTTTGTAAAAAGTGTGACACCGCATAACTTATTTACTAATAAGCATACATACGTATACACAAGGATTTACGTATTAAATACACAATGATATAATACTTCCTCCTAGTGTATTAGGGATACCAATTGTGATAGTAGTAACAATAATGAAGATATATGAAGACAACAGAAACACTGACACACTAAAAGAAAAGAAAAATAATCAAGAATACATAAAAAAGAAAGTATCATCGAATAAGATATATGCAAACGAAAAGTCAATAAGAAATATAGTTGTGGTAGTAGTAAACCGAAAAATAATTTTACCAACTGAGGGAAAAGAAAAGCCTGAATTACGTAATAAACAACAACAATACGATTTAATTGAGGCGAAAGTAAGTTAGATAATGAATGGGATCAACAGACATTTGGGAATAGAATCGTTATTCAATAATTAGATGAATCAATGAATGAATTGATTGATCGAAGAATGAATAAATGTGAGTAGATAGCTGTATCATATATATAAACGAAAAGCAGTTACTGAATACTATATATATATATATATGCCTGATCATCGACACTTGTTCCCTCTTATGTATTACTTCCTACGTCGCATTTTTCCATTTTCTTCTTTATGAATAGAATTTACTAAAGTTATATAAAAGCCAAAACTTTGTTCCTTTGCTTTTGTGTAACAAGAATACGATTTCATACTGAACCGGTAAGTATCGTTTAGTATTATTATTATGAGCTCAGTGTCTAGACATTTGTTCAGTTAGTGATCATCAAGCTAATATCACGAAAAAATGAGACAATTTACACAAATAGATGCCCAAATAAAGATCAATGTAGGGCTTTCAGAGGTCGTCAGATTTTGACATCACCAGTTGACCTAAGTTAAATAGTTATTGAAGACCTGGAAGCACTGAACAACTGTTTTGTTCTACTATGGGATTGCTCAGTATAGTGTGTATTTACACCACACCACAGGGGATCTAACCCAGGACTTTGGGTTTCGCGCTCTAACTCTCTCTCTCTCTCTCTCTCTCTCTCTCTATATATATATATATATATATATATATATATATATATATAATTTCACCTTTTTAAATAAACATATAAATCAGCTAAGCAGGTTATATACAAATGAAATTAACACAGCTAGCTGGTGAACTGACTTCATGTCTTAATCTAAATGATTCAGTTTGATGCAGTAAAATCAGCTTAGACAACGAATAAATTAAGCTATAAACAGACTTGTGCTTAGACGAAGCACACATAAAAATGTTCAAACACAGATTTAACAAGGACATGAGGGAAAATGACTCGTTAGTCACATGGTGTTTAAATTATTGGTATCTGTTCAAAAATTAGAACGAATTCGCATAGAATTATTAAAGCCACTCGCATGACACAGTTACTACATCCTGAATGACTGGTTCATAATAGAATGAAACCCACCTTGTAGGCAATCGGGAAATCAGAACTGACCACATACCTGTAATAGCATACATGATTATCTTATTCACGATCAAATCACCTTGTCATGTCTTAATATTTCTTCCTGTCTCTAATCAACTAACTGATTCCCTAACCACTACTATCCACAATCCGAAACATACAATGCTATATTCAATAATATATATATATATATATATACATATATATATATATATATATATATATATATATATATATATATATATATATATATATATATATATATATATATATATATATATATATATATATATATATATATATATATATATATATATATATAGGAAATTACTGACAGCTTTTCTCTCTCAAACTTTCATTTAGGTGTTTATATGTATTTTTCATGGAATATTTCAATTGTTCAATACACTCCTTCTTCATATACTTTTATGGATGAATCAATGAATAAGTAAAACAATTTCTGTTTTTTATTCATAATTAATAATACGGGGAAATACAATACCATATTGTTGTCTTCAACGAAAAGAATACAATCCAACATATTCAAGTAGTCAAATCGTAATTATTATTTATATAATGATGCTGATTTATGAATATGAAACGTATTTATTTACTGTTGATTGACCTGACTATTATTATTACTATTGTTATTATTATTACTACTCATGAACTACTTAAAACCAATCATTTTCCATCGTACTTTGATTAAATGGTTAGTTGTTATATTATATATATATATATATACTTACTTACTTACTTACTTACTTACGCCTGTTACTCGTCGAGAAGGAGCATAGGCCGCTCACAAGCATTCTCCATCCAACCCTGTCCTGGACAATCCTTTCCAGTTCTTATTCATCCTTTTCATATCTGCTTCTATTTCCCGACGTAATGTGTTCTTTGGCCTTCCTCTTTTCCGCTTCCCTTCAGGATTCCAAGTTAGCGCTTGTCTCGTAATGCAGTTTGATGATTTCCTCAATGTATGTCCTATCCATTTCAATCGTCTTTTCCTAATTTCCTCTTCAGCTGGAAGCTGGTCGGTTCTCTCCCACAAAAGGCTGTTGCTGATGGTATCCGGCCAATGGATGTTGAGTATCATGCGTAGACAGCTATTGATAAATACCTGTACCTTCTTGATGGTGGTTGTTGTAGTTCTCCAAATTTCAGTTCCGTACAGTAGAACTGCCTTGACGTTGGTATTGAAGATTCTGACTTTGATATTGGTTGAAAGTTGTTTTGAGTTCCATATGTTCTTCAGTTGAAGGAATGCCGCTCTAGCTTTGCCAATCCTCGCCTTGACGTCTGCATCTGAACCTCCTTGTTTATCGACGATGCTTCCCAGGTATGTGAAGGATTCTACATCTTCCAGAGTTTCGCCATCAAGAGTGATTGGATTGCTGTTCTCCGTGTTGTGTTTGAGGACCTTGGTTTTCCCTTTGTGTATGTTGAGGCCTACTGATGCAGAGACTGCTGCTACTCTGGCTGTCTTTATCTGCATTTGTTCGTGTGTATGTGATAGGAGGGCTAGGTCATCTGCGAAGTCCAAGTCGTCTAATTGGTTCTGAGCTGTCCATCGTATGCCGTGTTTTCCCTCAGATGTCGAGGTCTTCATAATCCAGTCGACCACCAGGAGAAACAGGAAGGGAGAGAGTAGGCAACCTTGTATGACTCCGGTTCTCACTTGTAATGCATCTGTCAGCTATCCTCCATGCACTACTTTGCACTGTAGTCCGTCGTATGAGTTCCGGATAATGTTGACAATCTTCTCAGGAACTCCGTAGTGTCGAAGAAGTTTCCATAACGTCCTCCTATCTACACTGTCAAATGCCTTCTCATAATCAATGAAGTTGATGTAGAGTGACGAGTTCCACTCAATTGGTTGTTCGACGATGATCCGTAGTGTCGCAATTTGGTCTGTGCACGACCGGACCTTACGGAATCCAGCTTGTTGATCTCGAAGTTGAGCGTCTACTGTGTCTTTCATCTTGTTTAGTAACACTCTGTTAAAGACTTTTCCTGGTATTGAAAGTAGTGTAATGCTTCTGTAGTTTTCACACTTGCTCAGACCTCCTTTCTTTAGAATCTTGATGAGATGTCCTTCTTTCCGGTCCATCGGCACTTGTTCCTCCTCTTCTTCTTGAATAGAAGATGAAGCATGCTTGTAGTTACTTCGATGTCTGACTTCAACGCTTCAGCTGGTATATTGTCAGGTCCTGCTGCTTTCCCGCTCTTGATTTGTCTGACGGCCATTCTGATTTCTTCGGTAGTTGGTGGATTGACATCTATAGGGAGATCTGTTTGTGCTGCTTCGATGTCCGGTGGATTCATTGGAGCCGGCCTGTTCAGGAGTTCCTCGAAGTACTTTGCCCATCTGTTCCGCTGTTCTTGAATCTCAGTGATTAGTCTTCCTTCTTTGTCTTTGACTGGTCTCTCTGGTTTACTGTATTTCCCTGCTAGCTTCTTCGTCGTATCGTAAAGCTGTCTCATATTTCCTTCTCTTGCAGCTTTCTCCGCCGTCGTTGCTAGTTCTTCCACGTATTTCTGCTTGTCGGCTCTAATGCTCTTCACTTTCTTGTTTGCTTCTATGTACTCTGCTTGTGCTTGGACTTTCTCTGCTCTTGTTCGACTGTTGTTAATTGCTGTCTTCTTGTTCTTTCTTTCTTTGATCCTGTCCAGTGTTTCTATAGAGATCCATTCCTTGTGAAGATGCTTCTTGGGGCCAAGAACCTCTTCATACGTTGAAGTTAATGTTTCTTTGATGCCTTTCCAGCTATCCTCCATAGTAGTTTCTTCTTCCTTCAGTAGATCCTGTAAGGCTTGGAACCTGTTGTTGAGAGCTACCTTGAATTCATTGAGTTTGTCAGTATCTCGAAGGAAGGCTGTATTGAACCTTTGTGGTGCTGTTTGTCCAGTTGTCCAGTTCTTCTTTAGCTTCAGTTTCAATTTGGCCACAACTAGGTGATGATCTGAAGCTATATCCGCTCCTCTCCTGGTTTTCACATTTTCCATTGTCCTTCGGAACTTTTTATTGATGCAAATGTGATCTATCTGGTTCTCTGTGGTGTGGTCCGGTGAGATCCATGTAGCTTTGTGTATACGTTTGTGTGGAAATGTTGTACCGCCTATGACCAATTTATTGAATGCACACAGATTTGCAAATCTTTCCCCGTTTTCGTTTCTCTCTCCCAGTCCATGCAGTCCCATGATGTCTTCATATCCGGTGTTGTCCATTCCGACTTTGGCGTTTAGATCTCTCATCAGAATGGTGAGGTCCTTTCTTGGGCACTTCTCTATGATTGATTGCAGCCTCTCATAGAATTGATCTTTAACGTCGTCGTTGCTATCATTGGTGGGTGCATAACATTGGATAATGTTCATTGTGGTCCCCTTCTTCTTTGTTTTGAATGATGCTTTGATGATTTTGGATCCGTGAGATTCCCATCCTACAAGTGCATTTTGTGCTACTTTGGACAGCATTAGAGCAACTTCCTGAGTGTGTGGAGCATTTTCCTCTTTGTGACCGGAGTATAGCAACATCTCTCCCGTATTTAGCCTTTGTTGTCCAGCTTGGGTCCAATGGGTTTCATTGATTCCCAGTACTGCCAAGTTGTATCTCCTCATTTCCGTTGCTATTTGACTGGTCTTCTGGGTTTCCCACATTGTCCGGACATTCCATGTACCTATAAAAATTGTTGCTCTGGTTGTCAGAAGGGGCATCGGCCTCGTGGCTTCCGGAGGAACTCGGCTTTCACCATGAAGCGTCATATTACCTCTAACTCCCAGGGCAGGGTTTAAATGGTTTGAGTTATTTTTTCTGGTTAGCGTTTTTTTAGCGAGTTAGTTTTCTACGGGATGGGGACGCTAACCCCATGCCCAACCCTCCTCCTTTACCCGGGCTTGGGACCGGCAGTAGCCCCCCGAAAGGGACTCCAGGCGGAGTTATATATATATATATATATATATATATATATATATATATATATATATATATATCTGCTCTACTATTCACTTCAGACCATGACAATCCTATTCTATTTGCTTCTTTTTTTATGTACGTGTATGTATGCATATGCAAGCAGTGATTTTTCTATAATCATTACAACATTATGTTAAACTAATAATCCGTCCTATGTGGTTGTTGTTGTCGTTCATATTATGATCTTTTACATGCTCTTCTGAATTAGCACTGCTGTCGTCTTCTTGACTTACTACACCGTGCCTACTGCCTACTCATTTCACATCACTATTCATCATTGTTGAATAAAGCCATTAATAATAATAATCACCTTTTATATATATACACACACACCATCCACAGTAGAACAAGGATAAACAATGCTTTTGATAATCCTCTTATATTTTCTGCACTACAGTTCGAAGACTGGCTTTTGATGTTTCTTGTCGTTTAAATAATAAGGATAATATTGTTGTTTTGCACAGTGAATAAACCGATTTTCTGTTAGATTATCATATCTCCTTGTTTATTTGTCTGTGGGTGTGTTAGTGTGTTTCTTAATTGGGTTCGCACTGCTAACTCCCTTATCATATTATAACACCTATTGATGATATATGGCTCTATGATGGTGATGATGATGATTAATTCGTGTATCGTTTTGCTCTTTTTTTGTATATCCAATTACGTCCTGTATTGTTCAGATATATTTCCTTTTTTAAAAATAAAAAAGCAAACAAATTTTTTATGCAGGGAGGAATTCGAACCTCAGTCACAAGCAATGTCGGATCTAATATATCAGTATTAGTAGTAGTAAAAGTATCGCTGATAGTAGAAAACAAATAATATGATTCGTGAATAAAAGATACGCTATTAGGTTAAAATAGTATAAGATTATTTTAAGGAAAGACCAAGACTAGATACATCTCCATCATTGCAATCTATACTAAGGGATCTCACTTGACGTCTCAAACCATTAATCATAATAATCTCACAGACCCCAATCATATAATCTGTGCCTATCATTATAGCTCAGTTTAACAGTTGATAACTTCATAGTCTAATGTCACGTTTCGGTATGGTTGCTCCTATCTTTCTTTCCACCTAAACTAGTCAACATCGTGAATCGAGGTAATCAGTGATTGGGATATTTAGTTGTGTGCCAACCAATTTAATAGATGAAGATTGATAATCTTATCAACCGATTCGCCAACCTCAGCATTCTTTACTCAATGGTCACAACATTAGTAAGTAATGCAAATAGTCGTAACGTACGAATATACTTTATTTTTAGTTTGTAATTGAACAAACACAGCAAATGAGTTTCTTATTTGAAATTCTCATCATTCTTTATATATAACATTTTAATCGAATTCATTTACAACTTGGAATTTAGGTTATAAGAAATTTGGCGTTTCATTTACAAAATTTGTGGCAACTAGATTTTTTCCCGTTTATTGCACAATACGCTTGTTTCCTTCCATTCTTATTATTTAAGATATCTGTGATAAGCCTCGTGGATCAAGTTCTTTAGCTGCTTTGTTTCATATTTTGCTAAGAATGCGTGCACAGACGAATTTCCCAAATTTAATTCATTACCGACCAACCGAACAGTGTGATAGGCTACCAGAAAACATAAAATTTAGTTACATCTCACGTTTTTTTAATCAACATAAGTCACAGGTTCTCCTGATTTTGTATCAATCATCCTCGTCGAAAATAAAACTTTATCTGAATTCTCTTTATTTTTATTCAGTGACACAATGGGTTATTTTAATTATCTGGAGTTTTAAGGATCCTGTGACAGTAAAG